AGAGATTCGAGAGATCTTAGAGATTCCAGGCCCATCGATCCTAGAATCACCAAACCTCCTCGTATGTAGTTTTTCACTTTTTTATATATTCGTTTTATGTATATAGAACTATTGGCTTCGTGTTCGACGAAGACCACTATTCCATAACTATTAACGACAATATTGGTATTGTTAAAAGTTACAGAACAGTAACTACAGGCCTAAATTTATCAAGAATTTCTTTTTGATGAATTTATCGCTAATGGAGTTTTGTTTTTCAAAACTTTCAGCGGCTCCTGTCGCGCCTCCGATTGTTCCGAGACCGGTTGTTGCACCAACTGTGCCAGCATCAAGTACTGTAACTAGCAATACGACCGGTTCGTCTGCCGCTGCGCTTTCGCAGCCTGCGAGTTCTGCAACTTCGAGACTAGTGGCTGGAATGTCTCCAGCGGGAAGTATTCCCAGTGGTGCGTCTGATCAGGAAAAGGTATATTTAAAATATTTTCATTGACAAGACTGTTTATCATGTTTTTATTACATTTTTTATTTGAAATTATTTCCGAAGAATAGACATTTTAAACAAAATGATATCGCACACACACATATATATATATATATATATATATATATATCGTGAGTCACACTTTAGAAAATAACATTAAAAAAAGAAATACAATTATACGCATAAGAAAATATGTAAATTTGAATGGGTATATTAACTCATAGTCAAATTAATCTAGATCATTAAATTCATTATTACTGTCTTTGTAGCTTGGTCAAATATGAAAAAAAAAGGTTTACGTATAGCTATTCTAAATTCTAAATAGGTCATGAATTTTTTTGCAGGCGGCCTTGATAATGCAAGTATTGCAATTGTCAGATGAGCAAATTGCAATGCTTCCACCTGAACAGAGACAAAGTATTCTAGTGCTAAAGGAACAGATTGCAAAAAGTACACAACGTTAATGTAAAATCTCTAATGTTTTCTGCACACAGAACGCGGCAACGTTTGCCATGTGATGGAAATTAGCGATAGCCAATAAAGTTTTCCATTTTTGTAAAAAAGCGGTAAACTTAATTGGTTACCATGCCAATTTCCGCCGCGCGACAAGTGTTGCTGCATCCTGTGTGCAGAAGCCATAAGGATTCTGAATTTAATGCAGTATATATCAAATCAAAGTGTGATGTACGATGGATTTCTACAAAATAAGATTTTACAAGAACAAAAGAGTATATTTCTTTCTTATTTCTAATCTATCTTGTCCTATTTATAGAAAAATAAACTATGAAAAATAAACTATAGAAAAAATAAACTTCACAGTTTAAATTCTTTTTCAATTTAAGGTTCCTGAATAATCATATTAAATCGTTCGATTATCAATATAAATGTAAATGATTGTGGTGACTCAGGAATCTTAAATCATATGAAACGCTATATAAATCATATGAAATAAATGTATGTGAATTAAGTTGAAATCAGTCGAAGAGTTGACGTTGATCCTCAATCTTCCGTGAAATTAAATTGATATAAACCTTCTTTTATTAAATCAGCATAAAATAATTCCGTACACGTTTTGTCCTTGTATATTTCGACTACTATATGATTACCCTCAATAATTTTCTGTGATAATAATAATTATGTATTTTTATGTGAGCTTTAAATAAATGAATTTTATTTTAAACGAATTTACCTTAACTCGGGCCACAACTGCTTCATTGTATATTTCATCTAATTTCGATGCTAATAAATCAATATCGTTAGAAACGAAGTTTAGCCCCCAAAATGTGCATTTGATAGCTATGGCAGGCAATTCCAACCATTCCTCTTTTGGTACACGTAAATCATAGTTTCTAGAACATTTTATTTTTGTGTATCATTATATATAAATAAATCAATAATATTAAAATCTTACTTGGAGAGTATGTCAGTTGTATGTAACTGTATGTATTCATGATTACCAAAATCGACGTAATATAATGAAATTTTTATGTACTGAGTGTTTAGAATTTTTTCACTATTTATAATGATGCATCTATACCACATATTATCAGTAAATTTCGCGATGCATGGAGTATCTAAAAAATATAAAATAAGTATATTTTATTAAACGAATTGTAATCTATATTAATTAAATCATAGTTTTATCTATATTATTAAAAATAATTAAGAAATTACTTTTTGCGAAAGATTCGATTAATGGTTGATGATTAGTCTGCATTTCTGACATTACGCTTTCGTATTGCAAGTAATACTCGTGAAGCTCCTAAATAAATTAATAAATAAATTAAACGCTGTTTATGTCAGATATATAATATTTAATAATTCGCGTATGCTTACATCAGAGAATATATCGTCGTTATTTTCTGCCAGTTGCGCTAATGAAGTGATGGGATCTCTGTTACAACATAATATTAATTCAATGTACTTGGTATCCTGCGGAATGATCAACCGTTTGTATGAGATCATATAGTCTTCGTCTTCTGATGGTTGCGGCGTTGAGGAGATTATATTCATGTCTATCGAAGATATACTTTCGATATCGGAAATCATGCGCTTATTCTCTAATTTATCAAGTAATTCTGTCTTTGTAATTTCAATTACTAAATTACCACTAATTACATTCTCATTTAATGTAATATCTTCAATGTTTGTATTCGAAGATTTCTTGGAGATGTCAGTTATGCATAACTTTTCGTAATCACTTATTGTTTCTTCAATGACAATATCCCTAGTGGTGTTCAAAGTTATCGTCGAATTGAAATCTTCATTCTCGGAATTGTCCGAATCATTCCATGACTTACGTTCGATCTTAATATCCATATCCATGTGATTTGAAATGTATAGCAGAAGATCGCATTTCCACGGTCGCAATAATGTGATGGATATCTATAAGCATGATGATATTGCATACGCATAACATTATTATAAAATTACAATAAAATAATTGGAGACTTCATATTAGAGATTGAGGTTTGTATTCGTAAACTACTATTGACGTAGATGTAACTTACAATTAAATTTGTGGGTTGGCGCTGTAAAATAGACACTTTGCATTCTTGATCAACAAGAAGTGCGTGTATGCGATCTAAATCGATCAACTTCCATTTACCATTTGGGGATGCCTGTACAAACATAAGGAGATTTTGAAGAAAATCATTGCGAATACAGAATTAAGCAAAAAAAAAAAAAAAAATTGGTATTGACAAAGAAAATTCTGTTACCGGTCTTAGTCCGCTGATGACGCATTTTGTGCACTGAATAGGAATATGTCCCAATCTAATATCATCTGTTACATGTTCTATTTTACATTCTTCCACATTGCCATAATCGACAAATTCCACCTTAGATCATACGATCAAAAAAAAGTATGTAAGTAATAAAGTATAATGCGAAAATAATAATTAAAAATAATAGATTATTTTTTACCTTCACTACATTTCCTAAATTGCTAACAATTCTACCTCTATACCACTTTTGATTATGATGATATTGAGCAATACATATTTCTCCTTCCTTCCATTGTTTCTCTTTGTTTGTTTTAATTTTCTTACAATAATTTTGCAATTCGGTCTCTATATAATTCAATAAGTCTGCATCTAACAAAAGTAAAACGATAGAATATAGCAATATATTTTTCGAATAATTAAATCTATTGTTATAACATATAAATGATATTAGCATAGATATAAACATAAATCAATGAGAAATTCCAAGATTAAAAAGAACTCTGTTAAAAAGAAACTCTAATTACTAGGAATGCATTGGATATCCGGAAAATATCCAGTATTATCTGGCACTTTTTTACTATCTGACCGGATAGCCAGATATCATTAATATCTGAGAATATATCCGGAAATTTAATATCATTAAATTATTGATTTTATATTATATAAATGTTCTAGAAATATATATATATATATATATAATT